TTATTTCTGTGATGGCAAAGCTGAATTTTCAGCAGCCATTACTCCAGTCATCAGTGTCACGTGATCCTTCAGAAATCATTCAAATATGGTGAAATTAAGCTTTAACATCACAGGAATAAATTCTAAATTCAGCTTAGCCATCACAGGAATAAATTAAATTTTTTTAAGAAAACAGTTATTTTAAATTGTAATATTTCATAATATTACCTTTCTGCTGTATTTTTAATAAAATAAATGCAGTCTTGGTGAGCATAAGCGACTTATTTCAAAAACATAAAAAAAAAAATCTTAATTAGTCTAAACTTTTGACTGGTAATGTTCTATTTAAATACAACATTTTAAATGTCAATTTACAGTATTCTGAGTTTTAAATAAAAGTTAAATACACAGCTCAATAATCAAATTGTAAAAAAAAAACATGTTTATCTCTCTTTTAGGAAAAGACAAATACATCTCTATTACTGATGCATGAAAATGGGGCTCATGCTGTATCTTTGGAGATTTCAGAAAAGGGATTAAAAAATATGCCTGGGCATGTTAAAGACATGCACTTAATAAGTGCAGCTCTGCCCTCTTACTGTCAGTGATTGGCTCCATGCAGAAGCCAAGTAGGGCATGCAGGAAATCCACAATGTTGTTGAGCGAATCCTTATTAACGTATTCTTTCATAGTCTGACGGAACTGCACTTTATCCAGCGTGTACAGAGTAGTCAAACAATTCTGCGCCTAAAAAATAGGACAGAGCATCTGGTCATTCACCTTTGTTGGAGACAAACTGCTACATGCAAATGTACTATTTTCTACATATTTTATGAAATCCATATCATCTGACCACATGACTAATAGTAGTCTATAACTAATAGTAGGCTAGTCTGACAGCAAATCAACGTAATGCTGTCTAACAGAGATCAGTGATTAAACCTCTTAAAAAAAGGTTAATCTGTACTGTAAAATGATGTTTTAATTGTACACATATATTGACCTGCATCCGAAGGCGGTCTCCAGAAAGCCCACGATGCCCTTCACCACAACCGTACGCACAGCCAAGTGATTTTACGATCTTAATGAGCATGGTGAGAGCCAACCTGTGAGTGCTGAGTGAAGTGTCTCCATCCTGTTGATGATTTTAAAAATGCATGAAATCTTACATGTGATAATTACTCACACATATTCATTTACAACAGATATATTAACTGTCTTACCTGGTTGTCCTTGTTATTCTTTATATCATCTCTGCTTCCTCCACGACTCTCTCCACCCCCTCCTCCTCCATCTCCTCCACCACCTCCATTAGGTGCTGCTCCTGTGCCTCCAGCCGCCTCCCCCTGAGTTCCACCCACACTCTGGCTGGCTCCCTCCTTCAGATGCTCCGCCTCTTTGTCCTCAGGTTTGGAGGCTTTCTTCATCACACTGGGCACCACCCCCAGCTGCAGGAGGCATTCGATGATGTTGAGCGCCACGTCGCAAATCCGAGAACTGATGTCATGGGTGAGTACGGAATACAGGGCCCGCAGAATAGCCTTAAAAAACACCACAGCGGTAAACAGGAAAGGCAACACTACTCGTAATATGAACCATATGGTCAGATGTTTTCAAGCTTTAATGGGGTGAACTAAATCTAAAATAATTTTAACATTTTCTTCAGAAGTTAATGGCCAATCTAAACACTACCAGTCAAAAGTTTGAAATACTGTAATTACTTTTTTTTTTATGTTTTAAAGAAGTCTTTTATGCTTACCAAGACTGCATTTATTTGATAAAAAATTTGTGCTGTCAAACGATTAATTGCAATTAATCGCATACAAAATAAAAGTTTTTGCTTGCATAATATATGTGTGTGTTCTGTGTATATTTATTATGTATATATTACATACAGAATGTATTTTGAAAATATTTACATGTATGTACATGTCTATATTTATATTCATATAATTTATATTATAAATAATAAATAAATATCTTTAATATATAAACATAACATATTTTTCTGAAATATATACATGCATGTGTGTGTATTTATATATACATAAATATACACAGCACACATACATATATTATGTAAACAAAAACTTTTATTTTGGATGCGATTAATCCTGATTAATTGTTTGACAGCACTATTAAACATACAGTAAAAACAGTAATATTGTGAAATATTAATAAAATAATAGTTACAATTATTAAAATACCTGTTTTCTATTATAATTTATTTTAAAATATATTTTATAAGCTGAGTTTTCAGCAGCCTTCATTGTCACATATTCCTTCAGAAATCATTCTAATATGCTGATTTGGTGCGCAAGAAACATTTATTATTATTATTATTATTAATGTTAAAAAAAGTTGTGTTGCTTCATATTTTTTGTGTAAACTGTGATACACTGCCATTTAAAAGTTTAGGGTACGATTTAATAAGAATAAAAATAAATGAATGCTTTTATTTAGCAATAAAAAGTGACTACAGACATTTGTCATCTTTAAAAAGAATTACGTTTTAAAAATGGAATTTTCTATTTATTGAGAAGCCTGGAAAAAACACGGTTTCCGCAAAAATATTAAGCAGAAAAAAAAAACCACTGATAATAATAAGAACTAGGGATGCACCGATACCACTTTTTCCAGTACTTGCCCGATACCGATACTTTTATTTTTGGTACTTGCCGATACCGAGTACCGATACCGATATTTTTAA